GGGGCGGGGTGATGGAAAGCGGGAGAATGGGGTGGGTGATGGAAAGTGGAGAATGGGGCGGGGTGATGGAAAGCGAGAGAATGGGGCGGGGTGATAGAAGGAGGGAGAATGAGGCGGGGTGATGGAAGGAGGGAGAATGGGGCGGGGTGATGGAAGTGGGAGAATGGGTCGGGGTGATGGAAAGCGGGAGAATGGGGCGGAATGATGGAAAGCGGGAGAATGGGGCGGGGTGATGGAAAGCGGGAGAATGGGGCGGGGTGATGGAAGCGGGAGAAGAATGGGCGGGGTGATGGAAAGCGGGAGAATGGGGCGGGTGATGGAAAGCGGGAGAATGGGGCGGGGTGATGGAATGCGGGAGAATGGGGCGGGGTGATGGAATGAGGGGAATGGGGCGGGGTGATGGAAGGAGGGAGAATGGGGCGGGTGATGGAAACGGGAGAATGGGGCGGGGTGATGGAAGAGGAAGAATGGGCTGGGTGATGGAAAACGGGAGAATGGGGCGGGGTGATGGAAAGCGGGAGAATGGGGGGGGTGATGGAAAGCGAGGAGAATGGGGCGGGGTGATGGAAGGAGGGAGAATGGGGAGGGGTGATGGAAAGCGGGGAAATGGGGCGGGGATGATGGGAAAGCGGAAGAATGGGGCGCGGGTGATGGAAAGGGGAGAATGGGGCGGGGTGATGGAAAGCGGGAGAATGGGGGCGGGAGATGGAAAGCGGGAGAAATGGGAGGGGTGATGGAAAGCGGGAGAATGGGGCGGGCTGAGGAAAAGCGGAGAATGGGGCGGGGTGATGGAAGGAGGGAGAATGGGGCGGGGTGATGGAAAGGAGAGAGAGGGGGCGGGGTGATGGAAAGTGGGAGAATGTGGCGGGGTGATGGAAAGCGGGAGAATACGGTGGGGTTATGGGAAGCGGGAGAATGGGGCGGGGTGATGGAAAGCGGGAGAAGGGGCGGGGTGATGGAAGGAGGGAGAATGGGGGCGGGGTGACGGAGGGAGGGAGAATGGGGCGGAGTGATGGAAAGCGGGAGAATGGGGCGGGTGATGGAAAGCGGGAGAATGGGGCGGGGGATGGAAGGAGGGAGAATAGGGCGGGGTGATAGAAAGCGGGAGAATGTGGCGGGGTGATGGAAAGCGGGAGAAGGGGGTGGGGTTATGGAAGCGGGAGAATGGGGCGGGCTGATGGAAAAGCGGGAGAATGGGGCGGGTGATGGAAGGAGGGAGAAGGGCGGGGTGATGGAAGGAGGGAGAATGGGACGGGTGATGGAAAGCGGGAGAATGGGCGGGGAGATGGAAAGAGGGAGAATGGGGCGGGGGTGATGGAAAGGGGAGAATGGGGCGGGGTGATGGAAAGCAGGAGAATGGGGCGGGGTGATGGAAAGCGGGAGAATGAGGTGGGTGATGGAAAGCGGGGAGAATGGGGCGGGGTGATGGAAAGCGGGAGAATGGGGCGGGGTGATGGAAGGAGGAGAATGGGGTGGGGTGATGGAAAGCGGGAGATTGGGGCAGGGTGATGGAAAGCGGGAGAATGGGGCGGGTGATGGAAAGCGGAAAAATGGGGCGGGGTGATGGGAAAGCGGGAGAATGGGGCTGGGTGATGGAAAGCGGGAGAATGGGGCGGGGTGATGGAAAGCGGGAGAATGGGGCTGGGTGATGGAAAGCGTGAGAATGGGTCGGGGTGATGAAAGGGGGAGAATGGGGCAGGGAGATGGAAAACGGGAGAAAGGGGCGGGGTAATGGAAAGCGAGAGAATGGGGTGGGCTGATGGAAAGAGGAGAATGGGGCGGGTTGATGGAAGGAGGGAGAATGGGGCGAGGTGATGGAAGGAGAGAGAAGGGGGGGGGTGATGGAAAGTGGGAAAATGTGGGGGGTGATGGAAAGCGGGGAGAATGGGGCGGGGTGATGGGAAGCGGGAGAATGGGGCGGGGTGATGGAAAGCGGGAGAATGGGGCAGGGTGATGGAATGAGGGGAGAATGGGGCGGGGTGATGGAAGGAGGGAGAATGGGGCGGGGTGATGGAAAGAGGGAGAATGGGACGAGGTGATGGAAAGCGGAGAATTGGGGCGGGAGATGGAAGGAGGGAGAATTGGGCGGGGTGATGGAAAGCGGGGAGAATGGGGCGGGGTGATGGAAAGCGGGAGAATGGGGCGGGGTGATGGAAAGCGAGAGAATGGGGCGGGGTGATGGAAGGAGGGAGAATGGGGAGGGGTGATGGAAAGCGGGGGAACGGGGCGGGATGATGGGAAGCGGAAGAATGGGGCGGGGTGATGGAAAGCAGGAGAATGGGGCGGGGTGATGGAAAGCGGGAGAATGGGGCGGGGAGATGGAAAGCGGGAGAAAGGGGAGGGTGATGGAAAGCGGGAGAATGGGGGGCTGATGGAAAGCGGGAGAATGGGGCAGGGTGATGGAAGGAGGGAGAATGGGGCGGGTGTGATGGAAGAGAGAGAATGGGGCAGGGTGATAGAAAGTGGGAGAATGTGGCGGGGTGATGGAAAGCGGGAGAATGGGTGGGGTTATGGGAAGGGGAGAATGAGGCGGGGTGATGGAAAGCGGGAGAATGGGGCGGGGTGATGGAAGGAGGGAGAATGGGGCGGGGTGATGGAAGGAGGGATAATGGGGCGGGGTGATGGAAAGCGGGAGAATGGGGCAGGGTGATGGAAAGCGGGAGAATGGGGCGGGGTGATGGAAAGCGAGAGAATGGGGGGGTGATGGAAGGAGGGAGAATGGGGGAGGGGTGATGGAAAGCAGGGGAATGGGGCGGGATGATGGGAGCGGAAGAATGGGGCGGGATGATGGAAAGCGGGAGAATGGGGCGGGGTGATGGAAAGCGGGAGAATGGGGCGGGGTGATGGAAAGCGGGAGAATGGGCGGGGTGATGGAAATCGGGAGAATGGGGCGGGGTGATGGAAAGCGGAGAATGGGGCGGGTGATGGAAGGAGGGAGAATGGGGTGGGGTGATAGAAAGTGGGAGAATGTGGCGGGGTGATGGAAGGAGGGAGAATGGGGGCGGAGTGATGGAAAGCGGGAGAATGGGGCGGGGTGATGGAAAGCGGGAGAATGGGGCGGGGTGATGGAAAGCGAGAGAATGGGGCGGGGTGATGGAAGGAGGAGGGGTGATGGAAAGCGGGGGAATGGGGCGGGATGATGGGAAGCAGGAGAATGGGGCGGGATGATGGAAAGCAGGAGAATGGGGCGGTGATGGAAAGCGGGAGAATGGGGTGGGTGATGGAAAGCGGGAGAATGGGGCGGGGTGATGGAAAGCGGGAGAATGGGGCGGGGTGATGGAAGGAGGGAGAATGGGGCGGGGTGATGGAAAGCGGGAGAATGGGCTGGGTGATGGAAAGCGGGAGAATGGGGCGGGGTGATGGAAAGCGAGGAGAATGGGGCGGGTGATAGAAGGAGGGAGAATGAGGCGGGGTGATGGAAGAGGGAGAATGGGGCGGGGTGATGGAAAGTGGGAGAATGGGTCGGGGTGATGGAAAGCGGGAGAATGGGGTGGAATGATGGAAAGCGGAGAATGGGGCGGGGTGATGGAAAGCGGGAGAATGGGCGGGGTGATGGAAGGCGGGAGAATGGAGCGGGTGATGGAAAGCGGGAGAATGGGGCGGGGGTGATGGAAAGCGGGAGAATGGGGCGGGTGATGGAAAGCGGGAGAATGGGGCAGGGTGATGGAAAGCGGAGAATGGGGCGGGGTGATGGAAAGCAAAAGAATGGGGCGGGGTGATGGAAAGCGGGAGAATGGGGCGAGGTGATGGAAAAAGGGAGAATGGGGCGGGTGATGGAAAGCGGAAGAATGGGGCGGGGTGATGGAAGGAGGGAGAATGGGGAGGGGTGATGGAAAGTGGTGGAATGGGGCGGGATGATGGGAAGCGGAAGAATGGGGCGGGTTGATGGAAAGCGGGAGAATGGGCGGGGTGATGGAAAGCGGGAGAATGGGGCGGGGAAATGGAAAGCGGGAGAAAGGGGCGGGGTGATGGAAAGCGGGAGAATGGGGCGGGCTGATGGAAAGCGGGAGAATGGGGCGGGGTGATGGAAGGAGGAGAATGGGGCGGGGGTGATGGAAGGAGAGAGAAGGGGGCGGGGTGATGGAAAGTGGAAAATGTGGCGGGGTGATGGAAAGCGAGAGAATGGGGTGGGTTATGGGAAGCGGGAGAATGGGGCGGGGTGATGGAAAGCGGGGGAGAATGGGGCGGGGTGATGGAATGAGGAGAATGGGGGGGTGATGGAAAGCGGAGAATGGGGCGGGGTGATGGAAAGCGAGAGAATGGGGCGGGGTGATTGAAGGGGGAGAATGGGGAGGGGTGATGGAAAGCGGGGAACGGGGCGGGATGATGGGAAGCGGAAGAATGGGCGGGGTGATGGAAAGCAGGAGAATGGGGCGGGGTGATGGAAAGCGGGAGAATGGGGCGGGGAGATGGAAAGCGGGAGAAAGGGGAGGGGTGATGGAAAGCGGGAGAATGGGGCGGGTGATGGAAAGCGGGAGAATGGGGCAGGGTGATGGAAGGAGGGAGAAATGGGGCGGGGTGATGGAAGGAGAGAGAAGGGGCAGGGTGATGAAAGTGGGAGAATGTGGCGGGGTGATGGAAAGTGGGAGAATGGGGTGGGGTTATGGAAGCGGGAGAATGAGGCGGGGTGATGGAAAGCGGGAGAATGGGGCGGGGTGATGGAAGGAGGAGAATGGGGCGGGGTGATGGAAGGAGGGATAATGGGCGGAGTGATGGAAAGCGGGAGAAGGGGCAGGGTGATGGAAAGCGGGAGAATGGGGCGGGGTGATGGAAAGCGAGAGAATGGGGCGGGGTGATGGAAGGAGGAGAATGGGGAGGGGTGATGGAAAGCAGGGGAATGGGGGCGGGATGATGGGAAGCGGAAGAATGGGGCGGGATGATGGAAAGGGAGAATGGGGCGGGGTGATGGAAAGCGGGAGAATGGGGCGGGGTGATGCAAAGGGAGAATGGAACGGGGTGATGGAAATCGGGAGAATGGGGCGGGTGATGGAAAGCGGGAGAATGGGGCGGGGTGATGGAAGGAGGGAGAATGGGGGGGTGATAGAAAGTGGGAGAATGGGGCGGGGTGATGGAAGGAGGGAGAATGGGTCGGGGTGATGGAAGGAGGGATAATGGGGGGAGTGATGGAAAGCGGGAGAATGGGGCGGGGTGATGGAAAGCGGGAGAATGGGGCGGGGTGATGGAAAGCGAGAGAATGGGGCGGGGTGATGGAAGGAGGGAGAATGGGGAGGGGTGATGGAAAGCGGGGGAATGGGGCGGGATGATGGGAAGCAAAAGAATGGGGGGGGATGATGGAAAGCGGGAGAATGGGGCGGGGTGATGGAAAGCGGGAGAATGGGGCTGGGTGATGGAAAGCGGGAGAATGGGGCGGGGTGATGGAAAGCGGGAGAATGGGGCGGGGTGATGGAAGGAGGGAGAATGGGGCGGGGTGATGGAAAGCGGGAGAATGGGGCTGGGTGATGGAAAGCGGGAGAACGGGGCGGGGTGATGGAAAGCGAGAGAATGGGGCGGGGTGATAGAAGGAGGGGAGAATGAGGCGGGGTGATGGAAGGAGGGAGAATGGGCGGGGTGATGGAAAGGCGAGAATGGGTCGGGGTGATGGAAAGCGGGAGAATGGGGTGGAATGATGGAAAGCGGGAGAATGGGGGGGGTGATGGAAAGCGGGAGAATGGGGCGGGGTGATGGAAGGCGGGAGAATGGAGCGGGGTGATGGAAAGCGGGAGAATGGGGCGGGGTGATGGAAAGCGGGAGAATGGGGCGGGTGATGGAAAGCGGGTGAATGGGGAGGGTGATGGAAAGCGGGAGAATGGGGCGGGGTGATGGAAAGCAAAAGAATGGGGCGGGGTGATGGAAAGCGGGAGAGGTGATGGGGGCGAGAGGTGATGGAAAGCGGGAGACAGGGGGAGAATGGGGCGGGTGATGGAAAGCGGAAGAATGGGGCGGGGTGATGGAAGGAGGGAGAATGGGGAGGGATGATGGAAAGTGGTGGAATGGGGCGGGATGATGGGAAGCGGAAGAATGGGGCGGGGTGATGGAAAGCGGGAGAATGGGGCGGGGTGATGGAAAGCGGGAGAATGGGGCGGGGAGATGGAAAGCGGGAGAAAGGGGCGGGTGATGGAAAGCGGGAGAATGGGGCGGGCTGATGGAAAGCGGGAAAATGGGGCGGGGTGATGGAAGGAGGGAGAATGGGGCGGGGTGATGGAAGGAGAGAGAAGGGGCGGGGTGATGGAAAGTGGGAAAATGGGGCGGGGGGTGATGGAAAGCGAGAGAATGGGGTGGGGTTATGGAAGCGGGAGAATGGGGCGGGGTGATGGAAAGCGGGAGAATGGGGCGGGGTGATGGAATGAGGGAGAATGGGCGGGGTGATGGAAAGCGGGAGAATGTGGCGGGGTGATGGAAAGCGGGAGAATTGAGTGGGGTTATGGAAGCGGGAGAATGGGGCGGGGTGATGGAAAGCGGGAGAATGGGGCGGGGTGATGGAAGGAGGGAGAATGGGGAGGGGTGATGGAAAGCGGGAGAATGGGGCGGGCTGATGGAAAGCAGGAGAATGGGGCGGGGTGATGGAAGGAAGGAGAATGGGGCGGGGTGATGGAAAGCGGGAGAATGTGGCGGGGTGATGGAAGGCGGGAGAATGGAGCGGGGTGATGGAAAGCGGGAGAATGGGGCGGGGTGATGGAAAGCGGGAGAATGGGGCGGGTGATGGAAAGCGGGTGAATGGGGCGGGGTGATGGAAAGCGGGAGAATAGGGCGGGGTGATGGAAAGCAAAAGAATGGGGCGGGGTGATGGAAAGCGGGAGAATGGGGCGGGTGATGGAAAGCGGGAGACTGGGGCGGGTGATGGAAAGCGGAAGAATGGGGCGGGGTGATGGAAGGAGGGAGAATGGGGAGGGGTGATGGGAAGCGGAAGAATGGGCGGGGTGATGGAAAGCGGGAAAAGGGGCGGGGTGATGGAAAGCGGGAGAATGGGGCGGGGAGATGGAAAGCGGGAGAAAGGGGCGGGGTGATGGAAAGCGGGAGAATGGGGCGGGCTGATGGAAAGCAGGAGAATGGGGCGGGGTGATGGAAGAGGGAGAATGGGGCGGGGTGATGGAAGGAGAGAAGGGGGCGGGGTGATGGAAAGGGGAAAATGTGGCGGGGTGATGGAAAGCGAGAGAATGGGGTGGGGTATGGGAAGCGGGAGAATGGGGCGGGGTGATGGAAAGCGGGAGAATGGGGCGGGTGATGGAATGAGGGAGAATGGGGCGGGGTGATGGAAAGCGGGAGAATGTGGCGGGGTGATGGAAAGCGGGAGAATGGAGGGGTTATGGGAAGCGGGAGAATGGGGCGGGGTGATGGAAGCGGGAGAATGGGGCGGGGTGATGGAAGGAGGAGAATGGGGCGGGGTGATGGAAAGCGGGAGAATGGGGCGGGCTGATGGAAAGCAGGAGAATGGGGCGGGGTGATGGAAGGAAGGAGAATGGGGCGGGGTGATGGAAAGCGGGAGAATGGGGCGGGGTGATGGAAAGCGGGAGAATGGGGCGGGGTGATGGAAATCGGGAGAATGGGGCGGGTGATGGAAAGCGGGAGAATGGGGCGGGGTGATGGAAGGAGGGAGAATGGGGCGGGGTGATAGAAAGCGGGAGAATGTGGCGGGGTGATGGAAAGCGGGAGAATGGAGTGGGGTTATGGGAGCGGGAGAATGGGGCGGGGTGATGGAAAGCGGGAGAATGGGGCGGGGTGATGGAAGGAGGAGAATGGGGCGGGGTGATGGAAAGCGGGAGAATGGGGGGGGTGATGGAAGGAGGAGAATGGGGCGGGGTGATGGAAGGAGAGAGAAGGGGGCGGGGTGATGGAAAGTGGGAAAATTTGGCGGGGTGATGGAAAGCGGGAGAATGGGGTGGGGTTATGGGAAGCGGGAGAATGGGGCGGGGTGATGGAAAGCGGGAGAATGGGGCGGGGTAATTGAATGAGGGAGAATGGGGCGGGGTGATGGAAGAAACGAGAATGGGGCGGGGTGATGGAAAGCGGGAGAATGGGGCGGGGTGATGGAAGGAGGGAGAATGGGGCGGCGTGATGGAAAGCGGGAGAATGGGGCGGGGTGATGAAAGCGAGAGAATGGGGCAGGGTGATGGAAGGAGGGAGAATGGGGAGGGTGATGGAAAGCGGGGAATGGGGCGGGATGATGGGAAGCGGAAGAATGGGGCAGAGTGATGGAAAGCGAGAGAATGGGCGGGGTGATGGAAAGCGGGAGAATGGGGCGGGAGATGGAAAGTGGGAGAATGGGGTGGGGTTATGGGAAGCGGGAGAATGGGGCGGGGTGATGGAAAGCGGGAGAATGGGGCGGGGTGATGGAAGGAGGGAGAAGGGGGCGGGGTGATGGAAGCGGGAGAATGGGGCGGGGTGATGGAAAGCGGGAGAATGGGGCGGGGTGATGGAAAGCGGGAGAATGGGGCGGGGTGATAGAAAGTGGGAGAATGGGCGGGGGTGATGGAAAGCGAGAGAATGGGGAGGGGTGAAGGAAAGGGGGAGAATGGGGCGGGTGATGGAAAGCGGGAGAATGGGGTGGGGTGATGGAAAGCGGGAGAAGAGGGCGGGGTGATGGAAAGCGGGAGACTGGGGTGGGGTGATAGAAAGTGGGAGAATGGGGCGGGGTGATGGAAGGAGGGAGAATGGGGCGGGGTGATGGAAAGAGGAGAATAGGGCGGGGTGATGAAAAGCGGGGAATGGGGCTGGATGATGGAAAGCGGGAGAATGGGGCGGGGTGACGGAAAGATGGAGAATGGGGCAGGGTGACGGAAATCGAGAGAATTGGGGGTGATGGAAAGTGGGAGAATGGGTCGGGGTGATGGAAAGCGGGAGAATGGGGGGGTGATGGAAAGCGGGAGAATGGGGCGGGTGATGGAAAGCGGGAGAATGGGCGGGGTGATAGAAAGTGGGAGAATGGGGCGGGGTGATGGAAAGCGGGAGAATGGGGAGGGGTGAAGGAAGCGGGAGAATGGGGCGGGGTGATGGAAAGCGGGAGAATGGGGTGGGGTGATGGAAAGCGGGGAATAGGGCGGGGTGATGGAAAGCGGGAGACTGGGGTGGGGTATGGAAAGCGGGAGAATGGGCGAGTGATGGAAAGCAGGAGAATGGGGCGGGGTGATGGAAAGCGGGAGAATGGGGCGGGGTGATGAAAGCGGGAGAATGGGGGAGGTGATGGAAAGCGGGAGAATGGGGTGGGGTGATGGAAGGAGGGAGAATGGGGCAGGGGATGGAAAGCGGGAGAATGGGGCGAGATGAAGGGAAGCGGGAAAATGGGGCGGGTAATGAAAAGCAGGAGAATGGTGGCGGGTGATGGAAAGCGGGAGAATGGGGCGAGGTGATGGAAAGCGGGAGAATAAGACGGGGTGATGGAAAGCGGGAGAATGGGGTGGGGTGATGGAAATTGGGGAGAATAGGGCGGGGTGATGGATGGAGGGAGAATGGGGCGGGGTCATGGAAGGAGGGAGAATGGGGGGGGTGATGGAAAGCAGGAGAATGGGGAGGGTGATGGAAAGCGGGAGAATGGTGCGGGGTGATGGAGAGTAGGAGAATGGGGCGGGGTGATGGAAAGCGGGAGAATGGGGTGGGGTGATGGAAGGAGGGAGAATGGGGCGGGGTGATGGAAAGCGGGAGAATGGGGCGGGGTGATGGAAAGCGGGAAAATGGGGCGGGGTGATAGAAAGCGGGAAAATGGGGCGGTGTGATAGAAAGCGGGAGAATGGGGCGGGTGATAGAAAGAGGGAGAATGGGCGGGGTGATGGAAATGCGGGAGAATGGGGCGGGGTGATGGAAAGCGGGAGAATGGGGCGGGTGATGGAAAGAGGGAGAATGGGGCGGGGTGATGGAAAGAGGGAGAATGAGGCGGGGTGATGGAAAGAGGGAGAATGGGGCGGGGTGATGGAAAGAGGTGGAATGGGGCAGAGTGATGGAAAGCGAGAGAATGGGGCGGGGTGATGGAAAGCAAGAGAATGGGGCGGGGTGATGGAAAGCGGGAGAATGGGACGGGGTGATGGAAAGAGGGAGAATGGGGCCGGGTGATGGAAAGCGGGAGAATAGGGCGGGGTGATGGAAAGTGGGAGAATGGGGCGGGGTGATGAAAACGGGGAATGGGGCGGGGGTGATGGAAAGCGGGAGAGATTCTGCTTAACTGCATCGACTGTGGGATGGGTTGATGAGACTCGTGGTTGAAACCTGGTGATTGGTAATAAACGTGTTATTTCCAGACGTCTCAAATTAACTCTTTCATCACGTGGCTAGTGAGATGAAAGTAACTCTTTCATCAGATGGTGAGATGAAAGTTATTATTCGTCAGATGGTGAGATGAAAGTAACTCTTTGAACAGGTGGTGAGATGAAAGTAACTCTTCCATCAGATGGTGAGATGAAAGTAACTCTTTTGTCAGATAGTGAGATGAAAGTTATTATTCATCAGATGGTGAGATGAAAGTAACTCTTTCATCAGATGGTGAGATGAAAGTAACTCTTTCATCAGATGGTGAGATGAAAGTAACTCTTTCATCAGATGGTGAGATGGAAGTATTATTCATCAGATGGTGAGATGAAAGTAACTCTTTCATCAGATGGTGAGATGAAAGTACCTCTTTCATCAGATGGTGAGATGAAGTACCTCTGTCATCAGATGGTGAGATGAAAGTACCTCTGTCATCACGTGCCTGGTGTCCTCCGATCCGCAGTGAGTTTCCCTGTCATCGCCAGTGTGGGGCACGGGCTCATTTTCCTCATGTACTTGCCTCCCTTCCCCCTCATCCCTCTGCTGGTCAGGGCCAAGGCTTTCGACCTTGACCTGGTGGGCCTGGTGTCGTCAAGCCCTCAAGCCTTCAAGCCTTCAAGCCCTCAAGCCCTCAAGCCTAAGCCTTCAAGCCTTCAAGCCTTCAAGCCTTCAAGAATTCAAGCCTTCAAGCCCTCAAGCCCTCAAGCCCTCAAGCCCTCAAGCCCTCAAGCCCTCAAGCCCTCAAGCCCTCACGCCCTCACGCCCTCAAGCCCTCAAGCCCTCACGTCCTCAAGCCCTCAAGCCTTCAAGCCCTCAAGACTTCAAGCCATCAAGCACTCAAGCCTTCAAGCCCTCAAGCCTCAAGCCTTCAAGCCTTCAAGCCCTCAAGCCTCAAGCCTTCAAGCCTTCAAGCCCTCAAGCCCTCAAGCCTTCAAGCCTTAAGCCCTCAAGCTTCAAGCCTTCAAGCCTTCAAGCCCTCAAGCCCTCAAGCCCTCAAGCCTTCAAGCCCTCAAGCCCTCAAGCCCTCAAGCCCTCAAGCCCTCAAGCCTTCAAGCCTCAAGCCTTCAAGCCATTCTCCCGCTTTCCATCAGCCCGCCCCATTCTCCCGCTTTCCATCAGCCCGCCCCATTCTCCCGCTTTCCATCACCCCGCCCCATTCTCCCGCTTTCCATCACCCCGCCCCATTCTCCCACTTTCCATCACTCCGCCCCATTCTCCCGCTTTCCATCACCCCGACCCATTCTCCCACTTTCCATCACCCCGCCCCATTCTCCCTCCTTCCATCACCCCGCCTCATTCTCCCTCCTTCCATCACCCCGCCCCATTCTCCCGCTTTCCATCACCCCGCCCCATTGTCCCGATTTCCATCACTTAGCCCCATTCTCCCGCTTTCCATCATCACGCCCCATTTTTTCGCTTTCCATCACCCCGCCCCATTCTCCCGCTTTCCATCACCCTGCCCCAATCTCCCGCTTTCCATCACCCCGCCCCATTCTCCCTCCTTCCATCACCCGCCCCATTCCCCGCTTTCCATCACCCTGCCCCATCTCCGCTTTCCATCACCCCACCCCATTCTCCCTCCTTCCATCACCCCGCCCCATCCTCCCGCTTTCCATCACCCCGCCCCATTCTCCCGCTTTCCATCACCCAGCCCCATTCTCCCGCTTTCCATCACCCCGCCCCATTCTCCCGCTTTCCATCACCCCGCCCCATTCTCCCGCTTTCCATCACCCGCCCCATTCTCCCTCCTTCCATCACCCCGCCCCATTCTCCGCTTCCCCCTTCCATCACCAGCCCATTTTCCCGCTTTCCATCACCCAGCCCCACCCTCCGCTTTCCCACACCCCCCCCCCATTCTCGCGCTTTCCATCACCCCACTCCCCCCCCACCCCCCCCTTCCATCACCCGCCCATTCTCCCTCTTCCATCACCCCGCCCCATTCTCCCTCTTCATCACACCCGCCCCATTCTCCTCCGCTTTCCACACATCGCCCCATTCTCCCGCTTTCCATCATCCCGCCCCTTCCCCCCCATTCTCCTCACCCCCCCCCCATCTCCTCCCACCCACCATCATCTCCCGCTTTCCATCACTCCGCCCATTCTCCCTCCTTCCATCACCCCGCCCCATTCTCCCTCCTTCCATCACCCCGCCCCATTCTCCCGCTTTCCATCACCCCGCCCCATTCTCCTGCTTACCATCACCCGTCCCATTCTCCCGCTTTCCATCACCTCGCCCCATCTCCCGCTTTCCATCACCCCGCCCTATTCCTTCTGCTTTCCATCACCCGCCCCATTCTCCTGCTTCTCCATCCCCCCGCCCCACCCATTCCCGCTTTCCATCACCCCGCCCCATTCTCCCGCTTTCCATCAGCCCGCCCCATTCACCGCCCATTCTCCGGCTTTCCATCACCCCGCCCCATTCTCCCTCTTTCCATCACCCCCCCCCCCCTTCCCTCCCCCCCCCCCACTCCCGCCCCTTCTCCCTCTTTCGATCACCCCGACCCATTCTCCCGCTTTCCTTCACCCCGCCCCATTCTTCCCTCTTTCATCACCCCGCCCATTCTCCCTCTATCCCTCACCCCACCCAATCTTCTCTGTCCATCACCCCGCTCCATTCTCTTGTTTTCCATCACCCCGCCCAATTCTCCCTCTTCCCATTACCCCTCCCCATTCTCCCTCTTTCCATCACCCGCCCCATTCTCCCGCTTTCCATCACCCCGCCCCATTCTCCCTCTTTCCATCCCCGCCCCATTCTCCTGCTTTCCATCACCCTGCCCCATTCTCCCTCTTTCCATCACCCCGCTCCATTCTCCTGCTTTCCATCACCCCGCCCCATTCTCCCGCTTTCCATCACCGCGCTCCATTCTCCCACTTTCCATCACCCGCCCCATTCTCCCGCTTTCCATCACCCCGCCCATTCTCCCTTTCCATCACCCCGCCCCATTCTCCCTCTTTCCATCACCCGCCCCGTTCTCCCGCTTTCCATCACCCTGCCCTATTCTCTGTCTTTCCATCACCCCGCCCCAGTCTCCACTTTCAATCACCCCGCCCAGTTCTCCCGCTTTCCATCACCCCGCCCCATTCTCCCCCTTTCCATCACCCCGCCCCATTCTCCCACTTTCTATCACCCCGCCCCATTCTCCCGATTTCCATCACCCCTCCCCATTGTCCCACTTTCCATCACCCCGCCCCATTCTCCTCTTTGCATCAGCCCGCCCCATTCTCCCTCTTTCCATCACCCCGCCCCATTCTCCCGCTTTCCATCACCCCGCCCCATTCTCCCGCTTTCCATCACCCCGCCCATTCTCCCGCTTTCCATCACCCCGCTCCATTCTCCCGCTTTACATCACCCCGCCCAATTCTCCCTCTTCCCATTACCCCTCCCCATTCTTCCTCTTCCATCACCCGCCCCATTTCCCGCTTTCCATCACCCCGCCCCATTCTCCCTCTTCCATCACCCGCCCCATTCTCCCGCTTTCCATCACCCCGCCCCATTCTCCCTCTTTCCTTCACCCCGCCCCATTCTCCCTCTTTCCATCACCCCGCCCCATTCTCGCCTTCCATCTCCCCGCCCCATTCTCCCTCTTTCCACCACCCCGCTCCATCTCCCGCTTTCCATCACCCGCCCCATTCTCCGCTTTCCATCACACCCGCTCCATTCTCCCTCTTTCCATCACCCCGCCCCATTCTCCCGCTTTCCATCACCCCGCCCATTCTCCCTCTTTCCATCACCCCGCCCCGTTCTCCCGCTTTCCATCACCACGCCCCATTCTCCCTCTTTCCATCACCTCGCCCCATTCTCCCACTTTCCATCACCCCGTCCCATTCTCCCGCTTTCCATCACCCCGCTCCATTCTCCCGCTTTCCATCACCCTGCCCAATTCTCCCTCTTTAATCACCTCTCCCTATTCTCCCTCTTTCCATCACCCGCCCCATTCTCCCGCTTTCCATCACCCGCCCCACTCTCCCGCTTTCCATCACCCGCCCCATTCTCCCGCTTTCCATCACCCCGCCCCATTCTCTCGCTTTCCATCACCCCGCCCAATTCTCCTCTTTCCATCACCCCGCCCCGTTCTCCCGCTTTCCATCGCCCCGCCCTTTTCTCTCGCTTTCCATCACCCCGCCCCATTCTCCCCCTTTCCATCACCTTGCCACATTCTCCGCTTTCCATCACCCCGCCCCATTCTCCCTCTTTCCATCACCCCGCCCTGTTCTCCCGCTTTCCATCACCCCGCCCCGTTCTCCTGCTTTCCATCACCCCGCCCCATTCTCCCCCTTTCCATCACCCGCCCCATTCTCCCTATATCCATCAGCCCGCCCCATTCTCCCTCTTTCATCACCCCGCCCCATTCTCCCGCTTTCCATCACCCCGCCCCATTCTCCCGCTTTCCATCACCCCGCCCCATTCTCCCTCTTTCCATCACCCTGCCCATTCTCCCTCTATCCATCACCCCCGCCCAATTCTCCCGCTTTCCATCACCCCGTCCCATCTCCCGCTTTCCATCACCCCACCATTCTTTGCTTTCCATCACCCCACCCCATCCTCCCTCTTTCCATCAACCCGCCCCATTCTCCCGATTTCCATCACCCCGCCCCTTCCCCGCTTTCCATCACCCCGCCCCATTCTCCCGCTTTCCATCATCCCGCCCCATTCTCCCGCTTTCCATTACCCTGCCCCATTCTCCCTCTTTCCATCACCCGCCCCATACTTCCTCTTTCCATCACCCGCCCCATTCTCCCGATTTCCATCACCCCGCCCCATTCTCCTGATTTCCATCACCCGCCCCATTCTCCCTCTTTCCATCACCCCGCCCCATTCTCCCTCTTTCCATCACCCCGCCCCACTCTCCCGCCTTCCATCACCCCGCCCAATTCTCCCTCTTTCCATCACCCCGCCCCATTCTCCCTCTTTCCATCACCCTGCCCCATTCTCCTGCTTTCCATCACCCCGCCCATTCTCCCTCTTTCCATCACCCCGCCTCATTCTCCCTCTTTCCGTCACCCCGCCCCATTCTCCCGCTTTCCATCACCCCCGCTATTTTCCCTCTTTCCATCACCCCGCCCCATTCTCCCGCTTTCCATCACCCCGCCCCATTCTCTCGCTTTCCATCATCCCGCTCCATTGTCTCGCTTTCCATCACCCTGCCCATTGTCCCGCTTTCCATCACCCCGCCCCATTCTCCCGCTTTCCATCACCCCGCCCCATTTTCCCGCTTTCCATCACCCCCCATCCCCATTCTCCCGCTTCCCATCACCCCACCCCGTTCTCCCGCTTTCCATCACCCCGCCCCGTTCTCCCGTTTCCATCACCCCGCCCCGTTCTCCCTCTTTCCATCACCCCACCCCATTCTCCCGTTTTCCATCACCCCTCCCCATTCTCCCTCTTTCCATCACCCCGTCCCATTCTCCCTCTTTCCATCACCCCGCCCCATTCTCCCGCTTTCCATCACCCCGCCCCATTCTCCTGCTTTCCATCACCCAGCTCCATTCTCCCGCTTTCCATCACCCGCCTAATTCTCCCTCTTTCCATCACCCTCCCCATTCTCCCTCTTTCCATCACCCCGCCCCATTCTCCCGCTTTCCATCACCCCGCCCCATTCTCCCGCTTTCCATCACCCCAAGCCATTCTCCCTCTTTCCATCACCCCGCCTCATTCTCCCGCTTTCCATCACCCCGCCCCATTCTCCCGCTTTCCATCACCCCGCCCCATTGTCCCTCTTTCCATCACCCCGCCCTATTCTCCCTCTTTCCATCACCCTGCCCCATTCTCCCTCTTTCCATCACCCCACCCCATTCTCCCGCTCTCAATCACCCCGCCCATTCTCCCCCTTTCCATCACCCTGCCCCATTCTCCCGCTTTCCATCACCCCGTCCCATTCTCCCGCTTTCCATCAACCCGCCCCATTCTCCCTCTTTCCATCACCCCGCCCTAATCTCCCTCTTTCCATCACCTGACCCATTCTCCCGCTTTCCATCACCCCGCCCCATTCTCCCGCTTTCCATCACCCCGCCCCATTCTTCCGCTTTCCATCACCCCGCCCCATTCTCCTCTCTTTCCGTCTCCCCGCCCCATTCTCCCTCTCTCCATCACCCCGCCCCATTCTCCCGCTTTCCATCACCCCGCCCCATTCTCCCGCTTTCAATCACCCCGCCCCATTCTTCCGCTTTCCATCACCCTGCCCCATTCTCCCTGTTTCCATCAGCCCGCCCCATTCTCCCTCTTTCCATCACCCCGCCCCATTCTCCCGCTTTCCATACCCCGCCCCATTCTCCCTCCTTCCATAACCCCGCCCCATTCTCCCGCTTTCCATCACCCCGCCCCATTCTCCCTCCTTCCATCACCCCGCCCCATTCTCCTCTTTCCATCACCCCGCCCCATTCTCCCGCTTTCCATCACCCCGCCCATTCTCCCGCTTCCCATAACCCCACCCCATTCTCCCGCTTTCCATCACCCCGCCACATTCTCCCGCTTTCTTTCACCCCGCCCCATTCTCCTCCTTCCATCACCACGCCCCATTCTCCCTCTTCCATCACCCCGCCCCATTCTCCCGCTTTCCATCACCCCGCCCCATTCTCCCTCTTCCATCACCCCGCCTCATTCTACCTCCTTCATCACCCCGCCCCATTCTCCTGCTTTCCATCACCCTGCCCATTCTCCCGCTTTCCATCACCCCGCCCCATTCTCCCGCTTTCCATCACCCCGCCCCATTTCCCGCTTTCCATCACCCCGCCCCATTCTCCCGCTTTCCATCACCCCGCCCGATCTCCCGCTTTCCATCACCCCACCCTATTCTCTCCTTCCATCACCCCGCCCCATTCTCCCACTTTCCATCACCCCGCCCCATTCTCCCGCTCTCCATCACCCAGCCCCATTCTCCCGCTTTCCATCACCCCGCCCCATTCTCCCGCTTTCCATCACCCCGCCCCATTCTCCCGCTTTCCATCACCCAGCCCCATTCTCCCTCTTTACATCACCCGCCCCATTCTCGCGCTTTCCATCACCCCGCCCCATTCTCCTGCTTTCCATCACCCCGCCCCATTCTCCCGCTTTCCATCATCCCGCTCCATACTCCCCCTTTCCATCACCCCGCCCAATTCTCCCTCTTTCCATCACCCCGACCCATTCTCCCACTTTCCATCACCCCGCCCCATTCTCCCTCCTTCCATCACCCTGCCTCATTCTCCCTCCTTCCATCACCCCGCCCCATTCTCCTGCTTTCCATCACCTCGCCCCATTCTCCTGCTTTCCATCACCCAGCCCCATTCTCCCGCTTTCCATCACCCCGCCCCATTTTCCCGCTTTCCATCACCCGCCCCATTCTCCCGCTTTCCATCACCCTGCCCAAATCTCCCGCTTTCCATCACCCCGCCCCATTCTCCCGCTTTCCATCACCCCGCCCCATTCTCCTGCTTTCCATCACCCAGCCCCATTCTCCCGCTTTCCATCACCCCGCCCCATTCTCCCGCTTTCCATCACCCACCCCATTCTCCCTCCTTCCATCACCCCGCCCCATTCTCCCGCTTTCCATCACCCGCCCCATTCTCCCGCTTTCCATCACCCCGCCCCATTCTCCCGCTTTCCATCACCCGCCCCATTCTCCGCTTTCCATCACCCCGCCCCATTCTCCCGCTTTCCATCACCCGCCCCATTCTCCCGCTTTCCATCACCCCGCCCCATTCTCCTGCTTTCCATCACCCCGCCCCATTCTCCCGCTTTCCATCACCCGGCCCCATTCTCCCTCTTTCCATCACCACGCCCCGTTCTCCCTCCTTCCATCACCCCGCCCCATTCTCTGCTTTCCATCACCCCGCCCCATTCTCCCTCCTTCCATCACCCCGCCTCATTCTACCTCCTTCCATCACCCCGCCCCATTCTCCTGCTTTCCATCACCCTGCCCATTCTCCCGCTTTCCATCACCCCGCCCCATTCTCCCGCTTTCCATCACCCCCCCCCATTTTCCGCTTCCATCACCCCGCCCCATTCTCCCGCTTTCCATCACCCGCCCCATTCTCCCGTTTTCCATCACCCCGCCCCATTCTCCCGCTTTCCATCACCCCGCCCCATTCTCCCTCTTTCCATCACCCCGCCCCATTCTCCCGCTTTCCATCACCCCGCCCTGTTCTCCCTCTTTCCATCACCCCGCCCCATTCTCCCGCTTTCCATCACCCCGCCCAATTCTCCCGCTTTCCATCACCCAGCCCTATTCTCCCTCTTTCCATCACCCCGCCCCATTCTCCCGCTTTCCATCACCCAGCCCATTCTCCCTCTTTCCATCACCCCGCCCATTCTCCCGCTTTCCATCATCCCGCCCATTCTCCCCCTTTCCATCACCCCGCCCATTCTCCCTCTTTCCATCACCCCAACCCATTCTCCCGCTTTCCATCACCCCGCCCCATTCTCCCTCCTTCCATCACCCCGCCCCATTCTCCCGCTTTCCATCACCCCGCCCCATTCTCCCGCTTTCCATCACCCGCCCCATTCTCCTGCTTTCCATCACCCAGCCCCATTCTCCCGCTTTCCATCACCCCGCCCCATTTTCCCGCTTTCCATCACCCCGCCCCATTCTCCCGCTTTCCATCACCCGCCCAATTCTCCCGCTTTCCATCACCCCGCCCCATTCTCCCGCTTTCCATCACCCCGCCCCATTCTCCTGCTTTCCATCACCCCGCCCCACTCTTTCTCCCCGCATTCTCCCGATTTCCACACCCCGCCCCCATTCTCCCGCTTTCCATCACCCCGCCCCATTCTCCCTCTTTCCATCACCCGCCCCCATTCTCTCCCTCCTTTCCATCACCCCGCCCCATTCTCCCGCTTTCCATCACCCGCCCCATTCTCCCCGCTTTCAATCACCCCGTCCCCATTCTCCCTCTTTTCCATCACCCCGCCCCATTCGCCCGCTTTCCATCACCCCCGCCCCATTCTCCTCTTTCCATCTCCCGCCCCATTCTCCCTCTTTCCATCACCCCGCCCCCATTCTTCCGATTTCCGTCACCCCGCCCCATTCTCCCTCTTTCCATCACCCCGCCCCCATTCTCCCGATTTCCATCACCCCGACCCCCATTCTCCCGCTTTCCATCACCCCGTCCCCCATTCTCCCTCTTTCCATCACCCGCCCCCCATTCTCCCGCTCTTTCCATCACCCCGCCCCATTCTCCCTCTTTCCATCACCCGGCCCCATTCTCCCTCTTTCCATCACCCCGCCCCATTCTCCCGCTTTCCATTCACCCCGCCCCATTCTCCCGCTTTCCATCACCCCGTCCCATTCTCCCGCTTTCCATCACCCCGCCCCATTCTCCCGCTTTCCATCACCCCGCCCCATTCTCCCGCTTTCCATCACCCCGCCCCATTCTCCCGCTTTCCATCACCCCGCCCCATTCTCCCGCTTTCCATCACCCCGCCCCATTCTCCCTCTTTCCATCACCCCGCCCCATTCTCCCGCTTTCCATCACCCCGCCCCATTCTCCCGCTTTCCATCACCCCGCCCCATTCTCCCTCTTTCCATCACCCCGCCCCATTCTCCCGCTTTCCATCACCCGCCCCATTCTCCATCTTTCCATCACTCCGCCCCATTCTCCCGCCTTCCATCACCCCGCCCCATTCTCCATCTTTCCATCACCCGCCCCATTCTCCCTCTTTCCATCACCCCGCCCGATTCTCCAGCCTTCCATCACCCGCCCCATTCTCCCTCTTTCCATCACCCCGCCCCATTCTCCCTCTTTCCATCACCCCGCCCCATTCTCCCTCTATCCATCACCCCGCCCCATTCTCCCGCTTTCCATCACCCCGTCCCATTTTCCCGCTTTCCATCACCCCGCCCCATTCTCCCTTTCCATCACCTCGCCCCATTCTCCCGCTTTCCATCACCCCGCCCCATTCTCCTGCTTTCCATCACCCCGCCCCATTCTCCCGCTTTCCATCACCCCGCTCCATTCTCCCCTTTCCATCACCCCGCCCCATTCTCCCTCTTTCCATCACCCCGCCCCATTCTCCCACTTTCCATCACCCGCCCCATTCTCCGCCTTCCATCACCCGCCCCATTCTCCCTCTTTCCATCACCCCGCCCCATTCTCCAGCCTTCCATCACCCAGCCCCATTCTCCCTCTTTCCATCACCCCGCCCCATTCTCCCTCTTTCCATCACCCCGCCCCATTCTCCCTCTTTCCATCACCCCGCCCCATTCTCCCTCTTTCCATCACCCCGCCCCATTCTCCCGCTTTCCATCACCCCGCCCCATTTTCCCGCTTTCCATCACCCCGCCCCATTCTCCCTCTTTCCATCACCCCGCCCCATTCTCCCGCTTTCCATCACCCCGCCCCATTCTCCCGCTTTCCATCACCCCGCCCCATTCTCCCGCTTTCCATCACCCCGCCCCATTCTCCCGCTTTCCATCACCCCGCCCCATTCTCCCTCTTTCCATCACCCGCCCCATTCTCCCTCTTTCCATCACCCCGCTCCATTCTCCTGCTTTCCATCACCCCGCCCAATTCTCCCTACTTTCCATCACCCCGCCCCATTCTCCCTCTTTCCATCACCCCGACCTATTCTCCCTCTTTCCATCACCCGCCCCATTCTCCCTCTTTCCATCACCCCGCCCCATTCTCCGCTTTTCATCACCCCGCCCCATTCTCCCTCTTTCCATCACCCTGCCCCATTCTCCCTGTTTCCATCACCCCGCCCCATTCTCCCTTTCCATCACCCCGCCCCATTCTCCCGCTTTCCATCACCCCGCCCCATTCTCCTGCTTTCCATCACCCCGCCCCATTCTCCCGCTTTCCATCACCCCGTCCCATTCTCCCGCTTTCCATCACCCCGCCCCATTCTCCCGCTTTCCATCACCCGCCCCATTCTCCCGTTTTCCATCACCCCGCCCCATTCTCCCTCTTTCCATCACCCCGCCCCATTCTCCCGTTTTCCATCACCCCTCCCCATTCTCCCGCTTTCCATCACCCCGTCCCATTCTCCCGCTTTCCATCACCCCGCCCCATTCTCCCGCTTTCCATCACCCCGCCCCATTCTCCTGCTTTCCATCACCCCGCTCCATTCTCCCGCTTTCCATCACCCCGCCCCATTCCCTCTTTCCATCACCCCTCTCCATTCTCCCTCTTTCCATCACCCGCCCCATTCTCCCGCTTTCCATCACCCCGCCCCATTCTCCCGCTTTCCATCACCCCGCCCCATTCTCCCTCTTTCCATCACCCCGCCCCATTCTCCCGCTTTCCATCACCCGCCCCATTCTCCCGCTTTCCATCACCCCGCCCCATTCTCCCTCTTTCCATCACCCCGCCCTATTCTCCTCTTTCCATCACCCCGCCCCATTCTCCCGCTTTCCATCACCCCACCCCATTCTCCCGCTTTCCATCACCCCGCCCCATTCTCCCCCTTTCCATCACCCTGCCCCATTCTCCCGCTTTCCATCACCCCGCCCCATTCTCCCGCTTTCCATCAACCCGCCCCATTCTCCCTCTTTCCATCACCCCGCCCCATTCTCCCTCTTTCCATCACCCTGCCCCATTCTCCCGCTTTCCATCACCCCGCCCCATTCTCCCGCTTTCCATCACCCCGCCCCATTCTCCCGCTTTCCATCACCCCGCCCCATTCTCCCTCTTTCCATCACCCCGCCCCATTCTCCTCTTTCCATCACCCCGCCCCATTCTCCCGCTTTCCATCACCCCGCCCCATTCTCCCGCTTTCCATCACCCCGCCCCATTCTCCCGCTTTCCATCACCCCGCCCCATTCTCCTGTTTCCATCACCCGCCCCATTCTCCCTCTTTCCATCACCCCGCCCCATTCTCCCGCTTTCCATCACCCCGCCCCATTCTCCCGCTTTCCATCACCCCGCCCCATTCTCCCTCTTTCCATCACCCCGCCCTATTCTCCCTCTTTCCATCACCCCGCCCCATTCTCCCGCTTTCCATCACCCTGCCCCATTCTCCCGCTTTCCATCACCCCGCCCCATTCTCCCTCTTTCCATCACCCCGCCCCATTCTCCCTCTTTCCATCACCCTACCCCATTCTCCCGCTTTCCATCACCCCGCCCCATTCTCCTGCTTTCCATCACCCAGCCCCATTCTCCCGCTTTCCATCACCCCGCCCCATTCTCCCTCTTTCCATCACCCCGCCCAATTCTCCCTCTTTCCATCACCCCCCCATTCTCCCTCTTTCCATGCGAAATCCGTACCGGTATAAAATGTGAAGCAATGTTACTCGGATCATGGACCGCCCAGCACGATCGTGTTTGCCACAATCCTAGACACCTTGGGACGAGATTCCAGCTCTTTTTGCCTTCAAACGGGCCCGCCGCATGAAGAACCGTCCCCATATAAGGGCGTTTGTGAGCCCGGGAAGCTGCGAAATCCTGTACCGGTACTAAAATGTGAAGCAATGTTACTCGGATCATGGACCCGCCCAGCACGATCGTGTTTGCCACAATCCTAGATACCTTGGGACGAGATTCCAGCTCTTTTTGCCTTCAAACGGGCCCGCCGCATGAAGAACCGTCCCCATATAAGGGCGTTTGTGAGCCCGGGAAGATGCGAAATCCGTACCGGTATAAAATGTGAAGCAATGTTACTCGGATCATGGACCGCCCAGCACGATCGTGTTTGCCACAATCCTAGACTACCTTGGGACGAGATTCCAGCTCTTTTTTCCTTCAAACGGGCCCGCCGCATGAAGAACCGTCCCCATATAAGGGCGTTTGTGAGCCCGGGAAGATGCGAAATCCGTACCGGTATAAAATGTGAAGCAATGTTACTCGGATCATGGACCGCCCAGCACGATCGTGTTTGCCACAATCCTAGACACCTTGGGACGAGATTCCAGCTCTTTTTGCCTTCAAACGGGCCCGCCGCATGAAGAACCGTCCCCATATAAGGGCGTTTGTGAGCCCGGGAAGCTGCGAAATCCGTACCGGTATAAAATGTGAAGCAATGTTACTCGGATCATGGACCGCCCAGCACGATCGTGTTTGCCACAATCCTAGATACCTTGGGACGAGATTCCAGCTCTTTTTGCCTTCAAACGGGCCCGCCGCATGAAGAACCGTCCCCATATAAGGGCGTTTGTGAGCCCGGGAAGCTGCGAAATCCGTACCGGTATAAAATGTGAAGCAATGTTACTCGGATCATGGACCGCCCAGCACGATCGTGTTTGCCACAATCCTAGATACCTTGGGACGAGATTCCAGCTCTTTTTTGCCTTCAAACGGGCCCGCCGCATGAAGAACCGTCCCCATATAAGGGCGTTTGTGAGCCCGGGAAGATGCGAAATCCGTACCGGTATAAAATGTGAAGCAATGTTACTCGGATCATGGACCGCCCAGCACGATCGTGTTTGCCACAATCCTAGATACCTTGGGACGAGATTCCAGCTCTTTTTGCCTTCAAACGGGCCCGCCGCATGAAGAACCGTCCCCATATAAGGGCGTTTGTGAGCCCGGGAAGCTGCGAAATCCGTACCGGTATAAAATGTGAAGCAATGTTACTCGGATCATGGACCGCCCAGCACGATCGTGTTTGCCACAATCCTAGATACCTTGGGACGAGATTCCAGCTCTTTTTGCCTTCAAACGGGCCCGCCGCATGAAGAACCGTCCCCATATAAGGGCGTTTGTGAGCCCGGGAAGATGCGAAATCCGTACCGGTATAAAATGTGAAGCAATGTTACTCGGATCATGGACCGCCCAGCACGATCGTGTTTGCCACAATCCTAGATACCTTGGGACGAGATTCCAGCTCTTTTTGCCTTCAAACGGGCCCGCCGCATGAAGAACCGTCCCCATATAAGGGCGTTTGTGAGCCCGGGAAGCTGCGAAATCCGTACCGGTATAAAATGTGAAGCAATGTTACTCGGATCATGGACCGCCCAGCACGATCGTGTTTGCCACAATCCTAGATACCTTGGGACGAGATTCCAGCTCTTTTTGCCTTCAAACGGGCCCGCCGCATGAAGAACCGTCCCCATATAAGGGCGTTTGTGAGCCCGGGAAGATGCGAAATCCGTACCGGTATAAAATGTGAAGCAATGTTACTCGGATCATGGACCGCCCAGCACGATCGTGTTTGCCACAATCCTAGATACCTTGGGACGAGATTCCAGCTCTTTTTGCCTTCAAACGGGCCCGCCGCATGAAGAACCGTCCCCATATAAGGGCGTTTGTGAGCCCGGGAAGCTGCGAAATCCGTACCGGTATAAAATGTGAAGCAATGTTACTCGGATCATGGACCGCCCAGCACGATCGTGTTTGCCACAATCCTAGATACCTTGGGACGAGATTCCAGCTCTTTTTGCCTTCAAACGGGCCCGCCGCATGAAGAACCGTCCCCATATAAGGGCGTTTGTGAGCCCGGGAAGATGCGAAATCCGTACCGGTATAAAATGTGAAGCAATGTTACTCGGATCATGGACCGCCCAGCACGATCGTGTTTGCCACAATCCTAGATACCTTGGGACGAGATTCCAGCTCTTTTTGCCTTCAAACGGGCCCGCCGCATGAAGAACCGTCCCCATATAAGGGCGTTTGTGAGCCCGGGAAGATGCGAAATCCGTACCGGTATAAAATGTGAAGCAATGTTACTCGGATCATGGACCGCCCAGCACGATCGTGTTTGCCACAATCCTAGATACCTTGGGACGAGATTCCAGCTCTTTTTGCCTTCAAACGGGCCCGCCGCATGAAGAACCGTCCCCATATAAGGGCGTTTGTGAGCCCGGGAAGCTGCGAAATCCGTACCGGTATAAAATGTGAAGCAATGTTACTCGGATCATGGACCGCCCAGCACGATCGTGTTTGCCACAATCCTAGATACCTTGGGACGAGATTCCAGCTCTTTTTGCCTTCAAACGGGCCCGCCGCATGAAGAACCGTCCCCATATAAGGGCGTTTGTGAGCCCGGGAAGATGCGAAATCCGTACCGGTATAAAATGTGAAGCAATGTTACTCGGATCATGGACCGCCCAGCACGATCGTGTTTGCCACAATCCTAGACTACCTTGGGACGAGATTCCAGCTCTTTTTGCCTTCAAACGGGCCCGCCGCATGAAGAACCGTCCCCATATAAGGGCGTTTGTGAGCCCGGGAAGATGCGAAATCCGTACCGGTATAAAATGTGAAGCAATGTTACTCGGATCATGGACCGCCCAGCACGATCGTGTTTGCCACAATCCTAGACTACCTTGGGACGAGATTCCAGCTCTTTTTGCCTTCAAACGGGCCCGCCGCATGAAGAACCGTCCCCATATAAGGGCGTTTGTGAGCCCGGGAAGATGCGAAATCCGTACCGGTATAAAATGTGAAGCAATGTTACTCGGATCATGGACCGCCCAGCACGATCGTGTTTGCCACAATCCTAGATACCTTGGGACGAGATTCCAGCTCTTTTTGCCTTCAAACGGGCCCGCCGCATGAAGAACCGTCCCCATATAAGGGCGTTTGTGAGCCCGGGAAGATGCGAAATCCGTACCGGTATAAAATGTGAAGCAATGTTACTCGGATCATGGACCGCCCAGCACGATCGTGTTTGCCACAATCCTAGATACCTTGGGACGAGATTCCAGCTCTTTTTGCCTTCAAACGGGCCCGCCGCATGAAGAACCGTCCCCATATAAGGGCGTTTGTGAGCCCGGGAAGATGCGAAATCCGTACCGGTATAAAATGTGAAGCAATGTTACTCGGATCATGGACCGCCCAGCACGATCGTGTTTGCCACAATCCTAGATACCTTGGGACGAGATTCCAGCTCTTTTTGCCTTCAAACGGGCCCGCCGCATGAAGAACCGTCCCCATATAAGGGCGTTTGTGAGCCCGGGAAGATGCGAAATCCGTACCGGTATAAAATGTGAAGCAATGTTACTCGGATCATGGACCGCCCAGCACGATCGTGTTTGCCACAATCCTAGATACCTTGGGACGAGATTCCAGCTCTTTTTGCCTTCAAACGGGCCCGCCGCATGAAGAACCGTCCCCATATAAGGGCGTTTGTGAGCCCGGGAAGATGCGAAATCCGTACCGGTATAAAATGTGAAGCAATGTTACTCGGATCATGGACCGCCCAGCACGATCGTGTTTGCCACAATCCTAGACTACCTTGGGACGAGATTCCAGCTCTTTTTGCCTTCAAACGGGCCCGCCGCATGAAGAACCGTCCCCATATAAGGGCGTTTGTGAGCCCGGGAAGATGCGAAATCCGTACCGGTATAAAATGTGAAGCAATGTTACTCGGATCATGGACCGCCCAGCACGATCGTGTTTGCCACAATCCTAGACTACCTTGGGACGAGATTCCAGCTCTTTTTGCCTTCAAACGGGCCCGCCGCATGAAGAACCGTCCCCATATAAGGGCGTTTGTGAGCCCGGGAAGATGCGAAATCCGTACCGGTATAAAATGTGAAGCAATGTTACTCGGATCATGGACCGCCCAGCACGATCGTGTTTGCCACAATCCTAGACTACCTTGGGACGAGATTCCAGCTCTTTTTGCCTTCAAACGGGCCCGCCGCATGAAGAACCGTCCCCATATAAGGGCGTTTGTGAGCCCGGGAAGCTGCGAAATCCGTACCGGTATAAAATGTGAAGCAATGTTACTCGGATCATGGACCGCCCAGCACGATCGTGTTTGCCACAATCCTAGACTACCTTGGGACGAGATTCCAGCTCTTTTTGCCTTCAAACGGGCCCGCCGCATGAAGAACCGTCCCCATATAAGGGCGTTTGTGAGCCCGGGAAGATGCGAAATCCGTACCGGTATAAAATGTGAAGCAATGTTACTCGGATCATGGACCGCCCAGCACGATCGTGTTTGCCACAATCCTAGATACCTTGGGACGAGATTCCAGCTCTTTTTGCCTTCAAACGGGCCCGCCGCATGAAGAACCGTCCCCATATAAGGGCGTTTGTGAGCCCGGGAAGATGCGAAATCCGTACCGGTATAAAATGTGAAGCAATGTTACTCGGATCATGGACCGCCCAGCACGATCGTGTTTGCCACAATCCTAGACTACCTTGGGACGAGATTCCAGCTCTTTTTGCCTTCAAACGGGCCCGCCGCATGAAGAACCGTCCCCATATAAGGGCGTTTGTGAGCCCGGGAAGCTGCGAAATCCGTACCGGTATAAAATGTGAAGCAATGTTACTCGGATCATGGACCGCCCAGCACGATCGTGTTTGCCACAATCCTAGATACCTTGGGACGAGATTCCAGCTCTTTTTGCCTTCAAACGGGCCCGCCGCATGAAGAACCGTCCCCATATAAGGGCGTTTGTGAGCCCGGGAAGATGCGAAATCCGTACCGGTATAAAATGTGAAGCAATGTTACTCGGATCATGGACCGCCCAGCACGATCGTGTTTGCCACAATCCTAGATACCTTGGGAC